TCTAGGCAATCTGAATCACGCGAACAACCCGGAACTTCTGTGGAAGCTTGGGATCAAGCGTGTGCTTAGTATTGGCGAGGCTGTCAATTGGACAGATACGGACCGTGTCAACTGGGGACCCGATAATTTGATGTACATTGACAATGTCCAAGACAATGGCATCGATCCTTTGTGCCAGGAGTACGATCGTTGTTTGGAGTTCATTGGTAAGTCCTCCAAATTTGTTACTTCATTGTGGTTTCCATCTGCTAATTTGTGTATAGAAGAAGGAAAGCGCCACGGCATGGCCACATTGGTTCATTGTCGAGTCGGTGTTTCCAGATCCGCAAGCATTTGTATCGCTGAAGTCATGGCGTCCAAAAATCTCTCTTTCCCGCGTGCATAGTAAGTTGATTTCCAGTCTAGTCGTTTAGCTGGGCCGACGATGCTAATTCATGATAGCTGCTTTGTCCGCGCGAGGCGACTCAATGTCATCATCCAACCTCATCTTCGCTTTGTGTAAGTCTCTTGTCTTTTACCCTCACACTCAACAAGGAAAATTTCCTAACACTTTCCCACAGGTATGAGCTTCTCCAATGGGAGGAGCATCAGATGAAAAAGCGAGGCCAGCCCATCAAGCGGGAGCTTGAATGGGACACTGTTGCGCGTGAGATAGCCCTTCTCAACAAGCCCTATTCGAGGCACTAAGGGTAGCCTCCGGCTATGGGGCCGACTCAAATCCACACGATCTGGATTAGAAGGACGGCGCACTGAATACTACGAAATGGCCATTCCCGCTGCAACATTTCACACCACTTCTCTATCGACTGTCTAAGGGTCAACAACATCCAGTTTCACGTTGGGCCGAACACCAAACCTATTTTCTTCTTAATGCGTGTTTTTGTCACTTTATCCATGCGAGATACTACACACTACGATACAATGACTTTGCACGATTTCTACGAACAAGGGATGATTTCTTGATTGATCTTTGGCGCTCGGCGTTTTGAAGACCTCAGAGCGTGGGAGATATTGCATTCACCATCCACGATGCAATGACTTTCTGCTGTCTCTGTTTGATCCGATAATATTTTTCTTCTCAGCCAGTCCATCTTGTTGATTTCACCTCTTGATTTCCCCCGATTCTGTCTTTCTTGTTTTCAACTTTCAATTTTCAATTTTTAGCTTTTGTTCTTTTGTTTCTGTTTTATTCAGCAATTTCGGTCCACATCATTTACCAACATTTTCTCTTGATACACCTCACCCTGTCCAGGGGTTATGTCATGTCTTCATGACACGCTGCAAGTTCGAACTGGAGCTTTCGAGAAGATACTTATTCGTTTCTCAACACACATATCCTTCAACTTGTTATGATTTCGCGGGCTTGTTATATCTTTCTATGGCGCCTCTTTTCTCTTATTTCAGTCTCTTCCCTGTCCAGGGCTACCTACCCATGGACACTTGGGTTATGTTTTATCTAGGCGGATATGGCGTTGTTACAAGCTCGGCGATCATAGGCGTTTCTGCGGACCTTTTTAATGTTATTCGTCTCATTCGAGCTTCCTACGTTTTCGATTCGATTAAAACTTCCCTTGTAATATTTACGTGATTATCGACACAAACGTGCGAGCCAAAAACGAACCAGATCTCGGATCACTAATGCATGCCTTTAAATCCCCGCCGAAAAGCAGGCAGATTTTCATTCATTATTCATAAATATCAATCGGTATGATATAGCTGTATGATCGTACGATACCCTCTCAAGTCAACAGCGCTCAAACACCCGGTACAGCCCCTTCAAATCTGCAACTTCAACCACACCCCGCAGCAATCGTGACGTGGCAACCAGCCGTGCACGCAGAGCCGGGAAAACAGCATACTCCAACATGCGAACCATCTGCGCACGACGGGCCCTAACGGAAGCATCTTCGTCCTCGACCCCAGAGTCATCGGCTACAACCGGATCCTGCATAGCCGACTCCCCCGATGTATCCTGTGCAACCTGCGGAAGAACCGGAAGTTGCTCAGGCGTGTAAAAAGTAGCTAGTTCGCGCAAAAACGTACGGAAACAACCCTCCTCACTATTCCAGTCCACATAAGGCCCAAGCCTCAGTAGGAAACGAGGCAGTTTCGCCAGCGCCGGCAGATACCCCTTCAGCAACAGCGGGATGGCAAGCAAGTCTCCGTCAGGACTGATCTGCAGCGAAAAGTACTCATTCAACATCTCGCGACGCTCAACGAGCGTGCGTGCTATCATCCCCGGTGCATTAGCGAAGATGGAATCCGCTTCTTCTTCCCCGCTGGAGTCGGAGTACTCTTGCTGTTCTGATTCTGCGGCGATTTTCAGTAGATCTACCAACTTCGGCGCTGGGTCCAGTCGGATTACCCCGAAGTTGCCGAAGTCGGTTAGGCCGACTTGGTAGAAGAATTCGTGGCAGGCGAGTCCGTAGTCGATTAGGTATAGTTTCACGCCTGATTGGATGGCTGCGAGTCGTCGTCGTTCGTCGACTAGTCCGACGTATGTGTGTGATGCGAACATCTCTGTTAGTGTGTTGTGCATTTCGGAGCGGACGGAGGCGCGGAGGTTCTTTATGGATGAGAGGGCGATCTTTAGTGGTTGGCGATCTGTTGTTTCGTATTGGAGGCCGTTGTCTAGGATTGATTTGTTCGGGGTGTCAGTTTCGGTCGGGGCGTCTGGGTTAGATGGGTCGCGAGGTGAGGCTGTGGCTGGGCCTAGCATTGCTGTGATTTTGCGGACTTTGGAATCTGTTCGGATGAGGTTGTTTTCGTACGGTTTCTTTGTCGTTGCGGGTGTTTTGGGTGTTGCTCCGGCTTTTGGTGCCTGTCCTGTTCGCTCGTGAGCTGGAGTTCCTTGATCCTGTTGTAGGGACTCGATGGTCTGCACGCCAGGTAGGAGGCTTTGTGTTAGGAATGTACGACTCGAGTCTACCTCAGCCAGCTTGGATCGGATTTCAGTGCAAACAAGCTCGATGATCTCGTCTTCATTTAGGAAATTCACTTCACGCTTTGTCGGGTGTACATTGACGTCAACGCGGCTAGGCTCGATCTCGAGATCGAGATAGACGAAAGGGTGGCCGCCTTTGGGCAAAAAGGCAGAGTAAGTCTGTTCAACTGCACGTTTAACAGCAGTTGATTCCACTGCGCGGTGGTTAATGAATAGCAGAATCACTGTCTTCTTGACATGATAGTTGGCGTTGGTAGCGAAGCCGGATGCGCGGAATCCGAGCTTAGTATCTTCGGTTTTGAATTCAACAACCTCGTTCGCCACTGCACTGCCGTGAATCTGGCGGATCCGATCGACAGTATTTGCGCTGACTGGGGTCGAGATGCTCACGCCGGAGTCTCCGTGCTTGCGGCATGAGAAAGCTACCCCTGAGCAATGCACTGCGTACCGGCCGACGACATCGAGAATTTTGGCATATTCCTCGCTTGCCGAGCGGAAAGCTCTCCGTCGAGTGGGGACGTTATAGAAGAGATCTTCGACCTTGGGCTTCGTTAACCTGAAAGCATGCCGTATGATCATGTGTTTAACTTACGGTGATTTGAGTTCCTCCTCGGCCAGCCGTTGCCTTGGGTGCAGAACTCTGGCCTGGCTTTGCCGGTATCAACTTGCCATCTCCGTAATGTGCTCGCCAGGCGCAGCTAGAGCCAGCAGTTTTTGTCGTAACTGTCAGGTGTGCGATGTGGCTGATACTAGCTAGAGCTTCACCGCGAAATCCGTATGTTCCAATGGAGGTCAGATCCTCAAACTCTTTGAGCTTAGATGTAGTAAACCTCTCGCATAGGATAGAGAGATCATCTCGCTAGATAGTGTCAGAGACGGCTGCTGTAATATAAAAAAAAAAAAAAAAAAAAATTTAACTTACATCAATGCCATGGCCATTGTCAGTAATCTGGAGTAACTTCAGACCACCTTCCTTGATTAGGACTTCAATTGACGTGGAGCCAGCATCGACGGCATTTTCAATGAGCTCCTTCAGTGCGTGCATTGGAGCAACGATAATCTCTCCAGCAGCAATTTTATTTACGACATCGGGATCCAAGGCCTGTACGGAATTTAGTCTTTGGCTATGTGATAGTATACGACGGGATTCATGTGCACGCGTTACCTTGATTTTTTTTGGTTTAGGGGGTTCCAGAGGCTCATCTTCCTCTGCTGCGCGCTTGGTACCGCGTTGATCAATAGGCTCAATATTCATGTCCTCTTGCATTATGATTTTCAGATATCTGGAAGGTGTGCGGTGAGGAAATGGATGGACTGCGAAGTGTAGTGCGCGTAGTTGGAGAAAAGGCGAAGATCACCGATAAGACGATAAGAGAGCCCAGGCGTCTACGGGCAACTATAGGGATCACTGTCACATAACTCTCTCATTGGTTTATATTGCCTGGCAGTAACTGAGACCACTCCCACTTTATAGTTAGTTAGTTATGTAGTTAGTAGTGATGCCTTATAATGCCTAAATACCTAGACTATTGGGTCAATGATATTAATGCCCTAGAAAGTACTTACGAAGTATTAACGCTATTCAAATCTCTTATGATACCTATACGTAGAAACGTGATCAATGTGTTTTATGTTTTTGCCGCCTTTAAATGTATATGAAAAAGACATATAAAAAGACATACAAGGAGACATCTAGAAAGACAACTAGAAAGACAACTAGAAAGACCCTAAGAAGAACATCTAAAAAATAAGATCTAATAAGATGTCAGTGTATGTAAAACAGAAGTTGAAATTAATATAATGTACCTTACTCCAAAAGGCGGTGATAAAATAGGCTGTAAGGCATCAGCCAATGAGAGAGTTATGTGACGGTGATCCCTGTACTCGCCCCTAGGCGTCATTGTTTGTGGAGATCGTTTGCTCCACTGCATTCGTCCTCCTGGGAATATGCAACAATTCGATCGCATTTGTTGTCTGAGCCTATTCGTTGCTTCAATGTTATAAGCGGAATTACAGAGCTCGCAGAGCTTTTCCTTAATCATTCCGGGCGCACATCATGAGCCGCGCAAAGATGCCCCTTCGGGTTGATGAAGAGATGGGCAAGAAAGATGACGACCATCGACCATCTGATCAGGCGCGTTTCCTACCTCGGCAACACCGAACAATGCCTCGACCTCGCCGAATACTGTTTGCTATCATTGCACTTGTTCTCATCTATGAGTTCTTCAAGCACATGCCGACAGACCTGAAACCTGCCGCAGATCGGTTCGACCCTACAATTGCAAAGCTACGAGAGGAAAATCTTGCCAAACTGTCGGGCTCAGATAAACCACCTGCTGTTCTTCCCAAGCCAGATACTTTAGCGCCGGACAATTTGTCACCAGCCAAGGTGTTGGAATCGAACCGTAAGGATGAGGCTTACGATGGGATGATCAAGTTCTACGAGTTGACCCACTCTCTTCCTCGCTATAAGTATTCACAGAAAGGTTCCAGCCATGCAGTTGTGTTTGCAGCCTCAAGTCTCCGCAGTGTGTCGGATCTTTTGCCCCTAGCTTGTCGAATGGCTGGTGAGCGGCTGAACTATGTGCATTTCACCCTGATGGGAAAAGAGGAAGTTTCGATTGAAGGAATCAAGGAAGTTAACAGAATCAGAGATAGTGAATGCCCGATGACATGGCACGGTATGATATTCGGATTATGATGATCGAACGCGTTTGCTGACTTGGCGATAACTAACAGATGCTCGGCCGGACTATGCACCAAAATCTACGGATGACCGTATGAGGCGGTCTGTGATAGGAGGGTTGCAAAACATACAAACCTACATTAGCCCCGAGGTTCTCATTACACAAGGTCAGGGCTGGGAGGATTCCTTTTTTTTGGGACGGGGTTCAAGCCTATTCACGAGAAAATCGCATCCCTCACGTTGTTCTCTCCACTGCTTCAAGAGGTCTTATGTGGATAGCCTCGCTAGATAGCGAAGCTCTTCGGTGTAAGTTATTCCCCCTCTGTTTGGTATGTCATATCCGGAAATGCTGACCGTACGCGCAATAGCCTGGAATAGAGTACAAATCGAGATGGTGGTGCATGCCCCATCCGAGTCTTCTGGGTCTTTGATCAGGCTTATGAAATCATTGGATGCAGCCGATTATTTAGGATCAACCCCAAGCTTGACAATAGAGCTCCCCCAGCGGGTAGATTCGCAGTTGCTTCAGTTTCTACAGCATTTGGGCGGGTTGACCCAGCTTTCTGGCCGAATTACTATTCGGCGGCGCATTCAACCGCATGATATGGACACAGCAGAATCCTCGCTTCGAACCGTGGAGTCGTTCTATCCACGGGACCCTGAGGTCACTCATTTGCTTATGCTATCTTCACAGACTGAGCTCGCACCATCGTTCTATCACTACCTGAAGTTTGCTGTACTGAATTACAAGCAGTCTTCCCGAGCTAAGTACCTATTTTCCAATATGATCGGCATCTCTCTTGAACTGCCATCATCCAAACCCACGGCTGGTAGTCATTCTTTCACCCCGCCCCCCATGACCGTTGAAGGCAAAGAACAGTTTCTTCCCTCGTTCCTCTGGCAAGCCCCCAATAGTAATGCAGCTTTGTATTTTGGTGATGCATGGGCGGAATTCCATTCCTTCATGGCTAAGCGCCTGTCGACTCCTCAATCCGTGGCGGCCCCCGAAACAAAGTTGATATCAGAGAAATACCCGGCCTTTATGGAACATATGCTCGAGATGATCCGTGCCAAAGGATATTATCTCCTATACCCATCATTCCCCGGCACCAAATCTTCTTCGATTGCCACAGTGCACAACGAGCTATACCAGCCCCCAGAAGAATTCGGAGACAGCAATCCCGCAACTCCGGGCAAAGAAGCCACTCAAATCATCCATGATCCTACTCAGCCAGTTACAGGTGGGGTTTCCACCGGCCTCGGATCTATTGAAAAACCACTGAACCGCGCTTCAACTATCATGCCACTGCTTGAGCAGTTCTCTTCAGGTCTGCCCGACCTTGATGCTTTGCCTCTGCTTTCATACGACGGAGACGAATTAGCGGCCGCGGTATACACCAAACAGACGGAAGAATATGCCAAGCAGTTTCGAACTTATTACGGAGGATGTGCCAGAGATGGAAAGGTTGATGAACCCTTGGAAGACCTATTATTTTGCATTTAATGATGAATCCCGACGAAATCTCCAGAATCTGAGTTGTCATTTCACCGGCATATTTACCAAATTCCGGATATACAAATAGTCGGCTGCTCATGTGGTTTTTACCCGTAGCGACGTAAGACTGCAGCTATTCAAATGGAAGGAGCGACTGCCTGCTGTAACATCCAAAAGCCCCAAAGACGGAAACTTCCGACATAAAACTCTTTCATGCGGTCAGCAACAGCAGATCCCGAGGTCGTCACACTGCTTACGCATATTAGAAGAGGCGTGAATGGGGTCGACTATGGTCTATTTGGTCCAGTATGATATTAGGGGCGGCATATGTAGAACATAAAGACCTGTTTGTAGATGTATACGAAGGCAGTAGGTAGGAGACATAAAATGCACAAGGGAATTTTCTATGTATAAACAGGGATGTAAAAATCAAATTTGAATTTGGAACACCTTCAAGTCATTACCTCCCTGATAAACCATAGTCACATAAAGATTCGATTCATAGAATTGAAGTCGTAGACTCGTAGCATTGCAAATCCAAAACAATGACGAGGGCCTTCCGCAGGTCTTGGCACCTTATGTAATCTAATTCCGGAGCTGCACCAGACCGAGCTCTGCTTCTCCATCACCAGCTTACAATCCACTTGCATTACACTTTGCTTGCAGAATTTCATCTATTTCTGCTTTGTAACACCATCTTCTATTTATCTGCTTGATACCGACCTCTCCCACGCCGCTTCGATTTCCCCCCGACTTGGTTCCCAGCTACCATCAGAAATGGCCAACGAGGGCGAACGGCCAACCTCCGCCGACAAGGGCAAGGGCAAGGTTGATGATGTTCGCGAGTTGAACGGCAAGAAAATCGAAAATGGCGAGAAGCCAGAAGAGGAAAAGAAGAAAGACCAGGCATCTGAAGATGGTATGTTGCGATAAGGCGTCTCGCAATGGAGCATGTGGTTTCTCTCAAGGGTCCACGGTGGCACTCAAAGCAACATGCTGACGGAAATTCTCTATAGAGGAACTCAGCGAAGAAGACCAACAATTGAAGAGCGAACTTGAGATGCTCGTTGAGCGGTTAAAGGTACGGTCACTCTCCTGTCCCATGCGCATAGCACAATGACGTTAATCATCATCTTTGCTCTCAATAGGAACCCGATACCTCGCTCTATGGGCCTGCTTTGGACGCAATCAAGAACTTTATCAAGACTTCTACATCCTCCATGACAGCTGTTCCTAAGCCCCTCAAGTTCCTCCGACCGCATTATGATGACCTGGCAGCGCTATACGAGAAATGGGCCGCAGGTCCCGTGCAGGTTGGTTCTGCAGTGCTTCCATCGTTTTGTGACGATCTAACGATATCATTCTTTTTCTAGAACTCGTTAGCTGATATGCTGTCCGTGCTTGGAATGACCTACGGAGACGAAGAGAAGCTAGAGACTATCAAATACCGCCTGTTGGCCAAGTCGGAGGACCTTTGCTCGTGGGGTCATGAGTATGTCCGACATCTCGCACTGGAAATCGGACAGGAATATCAGAACCGTTTGAACGCAGACCAGGATACCCAGGATCTAGTGGACCTTGCATTGTCGCTGGTGCCCTATTTCCTGAGTCATAATGCCGAAGCCGATGCGGTTGATCTCATGAGCGAACTGGAGATCATCGAAGATATCCCTCAATTCGTTGACGAGAACACCTACGCTCGAGTCTGCTTGTATATGGTCAGCATGGTCAACCTCCTCACTTACCCTGAAGATCAGCAATTCCTTCGAACCGCCCACGGGATCTACGTCCGCTACAACAAACTTTCGCAAGCGATCGTGCTCGCTATCCGGTTAAACGACACTGAGCTTATCAAGAGTGACATCCACGCCACGACTGACAAGTCTTTGAAGAAACAGATGGCCTTCCTCGTCGCCCGACAGCAGATCTGGCTCGACCTCCCGGCCGAGGACGAGGAGGGAGAGGCCTTGGCTGATTGTCTCAACAACACTTCCATTCCAAAGCACTTCAAATCTCTGGGCAAGGAACTCAACATTTTGGACCCCAAGATGCCGGAGGATATCTACAAGACACATCTCGAGAGCAGTCGTGGAGCCGGCCTCACTAATCTTGATTCGGCACGACACAACTTGGCCAGCGCCTTTGTCAACTCGTTTGCTAATGCCGGCTTTGGTAACGATAAGATGATGCTAGTGGAGGGTGATAAGGGCCCGTGGGTGTGGAAGACCAAGGATGATGGCATGCTTTCCACAACTGCGTCGCTGGGTATGCTGCTACACCGTGATGTCGAGGATGGTCTGGATAAGATCGACAAGTTCACCTACGCGCAAGAAGACCAGGTTAAGGCTGGTGCACTTCTCGCTATTGGTATCTTGAACTCCGGCGTTCGACTTGACTCTGACCCCGCCCTTGCCCTCTTGAGTGACCCTGACAACCTTGAGGCGAAGAACGTGCCGATGAGAGTTGCATCCATCATGGGTCTTGGTCTGGCATATGCTGGTTCCAACAAGGAAGAACTGCTTGAGGTTCTCCTTCCGATTGTGGAGGACGCCTCACTCGACATGCAGCTCTCTGCCATGGCAGCAGTTTCCCTGGGTCTCATCTTTGTTGGTTCATCAAACCACCAGGTTAGCGAGGCAATCGCAACGACCTTGATGGATGAGGAGCGCCAGAAGCAGCTCAAGGACAAGTGGACAAGGTTCATGGCCCTTGGTCTGGCACTTCTGTACTTCGGCCGCCAGGAGGAGGTTGATGTCATCCTTGACATCCTCAAGGCAGTTGACCACCCCATGGCTAAGCCCACCTCAGTCCTTGCCTCAGTATGCGCTTGGGCAGGCACTGGTACAGTGCTTAAGTTACAAGAGCTTCTCCACATCTGCAATGACATCATTGAAGAGAAGGAGGAGAACAAGGGCGATGAGCTTGTTCAGTCGTATGCTGTTCTCGGTCTGTCTCTTATTGCCATGGGCGAGGATGTCGGACAGGATATGATTCTCCGTCAGTTCGGTCACCTCATGCACTACGGATCTAGCAACATTCGCCGGGCAGTTCCCCTGGCTATGGGTTTGATCAGCCCCAGCAACCCACAAATGAAGGTTTATGATACACTGTCCCGGTACAGTCACGACAATGACAACGATGTTGCCATTAATGCCATCTTCGCCATGGGTCTCTGTGGCGCTGGTACCAACAATGCCCGTATCGCACAGCTTCTCCGCCAATTGGCCAGCTACTACCATCGCGACCAGAACTCACTATTCATGGTTCGCATCGCCCAGGGTCTCCTACACATGGGTAAGGGTACCATGACGCTTAATCCGTTCCACACCGACCGACAGGTCCTTTCCCGTGTCTCAGCAGCGGGTTTGCTTACTGTGCTTGTATCACTCATCGATGCCAAGCAATTCATCCTCGCTGAACACCACTACCTGCTCTACTTCCTCATTACCGCCATGTTCCCCCGCTTCCTTATTACCCTCGATGAGGACCTTCAGCCACTCACCGTCAACGTTCGTGTGGGTCAGGCTGTGGACGTGGTCGGCCAGGCGGGTCGCCCGAAGACCATCACTGGATGGCAGACTCAGAGCACGCCAGTCCTGCTGGCTCACGGCGAGAGAGCTGAGCTTGAGGATGAGCAGTACATCCCTCTGAGCAGCACCCTTGAAGGCCTGGTTATCTTGCGCAAAGTAAGTGTTTTTATCTTAAATCCAAAATTTCCAGTACTAACCTATCTTTTAGAACCCGGACTACGAAAGCCCCGAATAAGCAAGCTAGACTAGATATTCCCCGATTTACATCCATTGCTCGCAACCAGCGGGACTCGTATAGTGGTCGGGTTATCGTTGGATCTAATGTATTCAGAACGAATGAAGAATAGCATGGATTTATTTTACAACTGTTGTATCTGTTTGGCCTCTAATCCAATTGCTTGGATCTATGAGTAGACTTCGTATTTTGGACCTCGGTGGATTTGTGGAGCCTGTTGCACTAATGTACTATAAGAGACACTCATCTTGAACTAGTCCCTTGCATTTTGTCGACTTTTGATAGATATTCAGCCAGAACATTGTGATTATCGTATAATGCTATCCAAATAAAGGCGAAGCTATCAAGGTTCCCATCCTGGATAGGAAATAGGGCTTAGGGCTAGGTTCTTATCAACTTTTTTTCCTCCGCTGCATCGCTGACTGGTCTAACTCGTCTTGAAGTTCTGGTCTCCAACGTATCAATTTAGGGAAATTAGAAGGAAGTGAAAAGCTACTTTATTCCCCCATAACCATGAAACTCGACGCTAAGGCTATTCGCTACCTCACCTCCGAGGATTTCCGTGTTCTTGCAGCGGTACTTATCGGCCCCTCCTCTTGAGTTTACCCCGCGATGTTCTTTCTTTGGGGGTATTCTGTCGCATTCTTCATTAGCTAACATGTAAATTGTCCTAGTGTGAAGCCGGCAGCCGAAACCATGAGGTCGTCCCCACACCGTTGATCTCTCAACTTTCGGGCCTCCGGGGTGGCAGCGGTGTCAATCGCGCAATCTCAAACCTCGCGAAAATCAACTTGATTGCAAAGGTCAAGAATTCTAAGTGTACGAATTTCATCTACTTTTGCATCAGGTCGTACCTCTAATACAAGTATTCTGCCTATAGATGACGGTTACCGACTCGCATACGGAGGATTGGACTATCTTGCGCTGAACGCGCACCAAAAGTCAAAGGTCATCTACTCGGTTGGCAACCAAATCGGCGTGGGAAAGGAATCAGACATCATCGTCGTGGCGGAAAGCAGTGGAGCGCAGCGCATTATGAAAATTCACCGTCTCGGCCGTATCTCATTCCGAACTGTCAAGACAAACCGTGACTACCTACGACACCGCAGTTCAGCCTCATGGATGTACATGTCTCGATTGGCAGCAATGAAGGAGTTCGCTTTCATGAAGGCTCTGCGTGAGAATGGATTCCCCGTCCCCGAGCCCATCGCCCAGAACCGACACACCATCGTCATGAGTCTAAT